TATATGTATATATATATATATGTATATATATATGTATATGTATATATATATGTATATATACTAACAGCATATAGCATATAGCCTCACCACCGTTAAAATCTATTGTCCTTAATGCCATTAGGAGAGTCAACAAATAAATAACCACCATAGGGAGCCAGAAGACATGTTATTTAAATACTGCATCCAGTGATATTGGGATAATTTACTTCATATGCAGGCCTATCCCACATAGAGGCAGAGGTGTCAAGAAATGAAGTACAAATACTTTGTTACTGTACTTGAGTATAGTTTTTAGGTATCTATACTTTAATCCATTACTTATTTATCTGCATACTTCTGACTTCTACTCATTACATTTTCATACAAGTATCTGTACTTTCCATTCCTTACATTTTTAAAACAAACGTTACTCGTTACTCTTGGCTTTGGTTTATTGTTTATGAATATTTATTTCACGTCATGGCGAGAGCGTATCGGGAGACGGAGACGGAGATCAACTAGACCTCCCTCATCCTTGGCCCTATCTCAGAGAATTTTTCGAAATAGTCGAAAAATTGATCTTTCAATTCATATAGTGGCATCTGGCTGTTCTTTTTAAGGTTACTTTATACTTTTATATTTTAAGTAGTTTTTGGAGCTCATACTTTTTCACTTTTACTTGAGTAAATTAGTCAAGTTGATACTTTAACTTTTACCAGAGTGTTTTTAAACTGCAGGATCTATGCTTCTACTTAAGTAACAAATGTTTGTACTTTTGATGCCACTGCATAGAGGTCTGCTGCAGAGAACTTCCACTTTGTCAGTGATTCCAACCAGTTCAGCTGAAGCCCATTTACTCATGATTCCACTTGGTGGCGCTGTTTCCCCTTTGTGCTCTGACAGCAAGGTCGCTGACACAAAGAGGGCAAAGCCACAACATCTTCTTCATCAATACAGAGTGAAGCTGCTCTCCTCCAACTTCCCTCTGGAGCTGCTGGTATCAGAAACAAATCTGCTGTGTTGCTTCTCTCTCTCTCCCTCAGTCGCTCCCCAGCATCCACCGAGTGCTGAGGAGATCTAGGCCGCTTAAAGATAGCTCCCGGCAGCCTCGATGCCACCTCCCAAAATATATCTGCTCATGAGAGTCATCGTCTCTCTCTTCCTTCCCTCCCCCCTCCTTCCTCAGCCTTCTTTTACTCCCATCTCCCTTTGGACACAAAGCCGGATTCAGCATTAGAACTTGTTAATCCATATTCATAGTTTCAAAATGAAAATATATTCTGAAGTCTCACTTTGACTGTCCCTCAGTGAAATGATGACATCAAGAACGAATTCATTGAGATTAGTGGGGATTTAGGAGAGGGCTAAAGGCCGAGAGAAATGTTCAACTCAAAAAGAAAGGACTTGAATAGGAAGTCTAAATATGGAGCGGGGATCTCTTGTTTTCACTTTACTGTCCAAAACCACCTTTAGTTAACCAAAATGTTTATATGTTATTAGTTTGGATGCTAATTGGGGAAGAGGAATTCCTTTTCTCTGGATCAATATTGTTTAAACCCTTTAATTATTGCCCTGTTTTCATTCCTTACCTGCCTCTCTATACGAGTAAAACGCAGAAAAGAAACCTCAATAACAAAAAACCAAACAGGCCTTCATAAAAGTCTGTTTGTGTCACCAGTGAATTGGTGCGTTATGTAGAGCCAATTTTCACTCGGAAAAAAAGGAAGACTAAAAAGCCACATGCATCGTCTCAAATGGGTTCAATATTTTTCCTGCTGCCTGCACTGCTGCGCAGGGACCGCAAGTGTGCCCAATAAACCCCCCCCTTGGCCCACATCCACAGAGAATGAGGACAATACTTTGGCTCAGAGTCATGTGTGCCTAATGTGGTCCTTTTATGTGGGAAAGTGGAAGTGCATAGAGATGGGAATGAAAGGAGATCACTGCATTCCTGTTTTCGTTCCCGTTTGATCGGCAAGATCCCAGCAACTCCTGCAGGGCTCCTGCCTGCAATGGTGCATTTTTTGAGAAGTGGTATTACAGAAAACGGGGTCCAACAGTAGCAGGACAAAAAAAAAGGTTGATTTGGAATGATTTGGGGCCAAATGACAAGCATAACACAATACTTGGTGGATAAGGATGAGCTTTTCATTCAAACATCATTCAGAAATTGCAACATATACGAGTTTCTATTTTTAAAAAGAAATATAGCATAAATTATCCTTCATGTGATCACAAATTCATACTTGTGTTAAAAAAGATGAGAAGATCTAGCTTCTAACATGTCTTATTAAAGCTGGAGAAGTTCCTGTTTTGGCAAATCTAGAAGATCCTTAGAGATGGTTAAAAATGGGATGTGATGTCAGAATTTAATTTAACTTATGGCAGAATTTGTGCAAAAAAGAGGGATGAACAATATAAATAATTTGCTTATACACAGAAAAACTAGGTAGGTCTGGGAAAATATTTCTATTTTCATATATTCTTTGAAGTAATCTCTGTCTGTCCATCCATCCATCGATTGCAAACTGTTTAAATTGTTATTATGGTAACCATGGAAACCTTCAGCTCCTCTTCACATACCATTGTGCATCTTTCTAAACACCATATTTAGAGCTTAATGGTGTCTCTTGTCATCTAGGTCGAACTCCGGTTTCATCTCATGGATGCCTTCCCTCTGTTTTGCATTTTTCCGTTGCACATTTACATGCATCCATGAGTGTTTACATACCTCTACACACCCGCGCAACGATATCGAGGTCAGAATGATAGACAGAGACTGACCCCCACACCCTCACACACAGCACACATCCTCGGGCTACCTCTCTGCAAGCTGTTTGCTCATGTAGAAGCAGACCCATCTGCCCCAGGAGAGGAAGAGAACACGGAGGCAGACGGGGATGCAGGCCGAGCAGACACATGCATGGATGTGCACACATGCAAAGCAGGCAGAGGTGGAAGGGAGGCTCAGCGAGGAGGAGAAAGAGGATGGTGGGGATGTGGAGGGGTGCGTGGAGCAGATTTGTGCAGCGTTGCCCTTAGATACAGGATGTCGTAATAAGGCAATTGGAAGAAAGGGAAGAGAGAGAGAGAGAGAGAGAGAGAGTGAGAAAATAAGCAAAATGGAAACAGGGGAGGAGTTTGAACCTCAAGGAGAAACACACGAGTTTCCCTGTCTGTGCTACAAGCCGACACCCCTCCGCCTGAGCAGAGAGTGGAACGCTCCAGCTCGCTCTGGGCTCTGTTGTTGTGCAGAGCTGCACAAGGCCTGTCTGAGCCAGCTTGACAGAAAGAGGAGGAAGACTTTAAGACAGAGACATGCTGAGGATTGAGAGCTGTGAAGCTGTTTCATCACCCTGTCCAGACCACCAAAACCACAGAGGAGACCGAAGAAGGGAAGCGGGAGAAGAGGGGGAGCATCAGTGAGAGCAGGAGGAAGTGAGGGAGAGGCAAGGTGAAGGAGGAGAAGGGAGGAAGGAAAGGGAGGGAGGAAGGAGGAGGGCCTGACTGACTGACATTGCTGCTGTCGCTATCAGCTCCCTCAAACACATCAGCAGACCGGGCTCTGCACACTTGCTGCTCTCTCATTCCCTTCAGTAGAGAGAGTCTCATCCTCCATCTCTTTCATCTGCTTTGAGCAGAAGGATAGAGAGAAGGAGAAGGAGGGGAGGCAGTAACCCTCTCCTCTCCTTCACTCAGAGACAGAGAGAGAGAGAACAGAGAAACGGTAAAGAACAGGAAGGAACGCAGCTTTGTGTTTGTATTTTGCCGTCTCCTGTGGAACGCCCGGCCAGAGAGCGGCTACCAGGCACCGCTCATGTCCGTGAACTCGGAGAAATCCTCGTCCCCTGAAAGGTAACACCTCTCTGCTGATGCTTATCATCTCCGTCATCCCAGTGCATGCCTTCATTTTAGGTGAATTCTCAAATCTCCCACCAGCAGCAGAGAACAGCACCACTACCGCCACGAACGCCTGCATGTTTTCACTCTTTCTCTTTCTCTTTCCATCTCTGCTGGTTTCTTCCATTGTTCGAGACTCAACACTGAGGCGGCTGCAGAACGCAGCCGTTCCATGCTTTACATGTTATGCTCAGAAATGTTCAGCATACACCAAATCCAGCAGATCACATTCACTCTGAGGCTCTGGCAAAACAAAAGCACAGAAATATGTACCTCATATGCATTTAATAGAGTGTATGATGGTGTTTCACGGAGCTTACACAGCACAGAGTGTCAAAACACGTCAACATCAGCTCAGCCAGCAGCAGCACCAGACAACAGCTCCCTATATGACGCACCAGAATGCACGCTGCTCCTCAGCAGTACACATCTGCTTTAGGATGCTTTGGCCAATCAGATTAAATATTGGATATCATAATAGAGCCTGTCTGGAAGTTGATCAGCAGGCCTGTTATCGGTCACAAAATCCAACATAAAAGCAAGCATCATGACCATGGAGTCGCCTTTATGAGATTCTAATAGTATGATAACCTTGAGTAAAAATGTCACAGCTTTTCAAGGTAAAATTTAAATGACCAATTTAAACATTGCACAGGATTTAACTGTGTCTTTTTAAGAATAGAGAACCAACAATTATTCCTACTGCTGCTGTTATAATGAAGCATTTTTTGGATATTACAGTTGGATTATTGTATTTAGTTTGATAGATGGACGTTTAGTGCTTATTGTGTCAATCACTGTTAAGCAATAAGGAGTTAAAATGTCACCGTTGTTTTTTTTCTGGTATTTATAAGCACAAGCTTTCATTGCTTAGAAGAATGCAGTCACTGCTCTAAAAGTAAATCTCACCTTTTACCTGACAGACTACCTCAGTGCTCGAGTTACACCAAGTAGTGCTTGTAGACATTAATTCCTATAAAGGGTTTTTAAAACATATTCTGATTAGGCATGCACTGATTGATTGGCACAATTTCTTAGCTTTGGGTTAACGACGATTGGGTGAAACATGTGGAAACCGATATGCAGAGAACTTATATTCCTTCTCAAAGGTCTGAATATGCAGTTAAAAGTTTAAATTGTTGCATGGCTGCTGGTCTGTGTTTTTCCATAAAATGGGATTGGAACAATGAAGCTGTGTTGCTATCTTATAACACCTGATTGTCGGTTATTAAAAAAATGAAATAAAAACTGTATGGCCAGACTTTAAAGATTAGTGAACAGTCACAAAACTGCATTCAGTGCACCCCTTAATTTTGATATTTTTTGATGCTCTGGTGAGGTAAATGTCAGTTCTTTTGATTGCAAATATTAATAAATATACTTTATCATGATCCTTATTATTGCAGAGACAAGGGGAATTCCCATCCGTAGTGCAGGATCTTATATTCTGCCCATAATGCTATAAGATATGTATGACTGGGTGATGATACAAGGAAATTGCACAAAAATTTGAATAAGAATGCTTTTTGATGGCTAGGAGTTGTTGAATTTTGGTCAGAGAAACAGAAATATGTTTGAAAAATACTCCATTGTCAGGGTCAGATTAAGATGAGCTGGGTAGTCAGTTGGCGGTTGAATGCTTCAAAGAAACACTGGATCCAGTTAGTCTCCAAAACAATGTCCGTCTTTGCTTCTAAGATTGTTTTCAAGGAGTTCAGGTATTTTTTTCACTTGTGGGAAAATGTAGTAGCCTTTTTGTTAAGCCAGCTGACCTGAAGTGCTCAGTAAAACACAAGGGAGGACTGTAAACGACTGCAAGTTCCTTTCTTTGACATGAGCAACTCTGGCATAGGTCTTAAGTTTAGAAATTGGTTCTGTCTTGCTTGTCTTAGGCTCTGTGTGTCAAATGACTGTAAAAGGTGTCGCCTAACACCCATCAGTTGATGAGGAGCATGTCGTTGCTCTTGACATGCCTTGTCCTTCATTCTACGGCTCCATGCAGCCAGAGAAACCTAGGCTGACTCTGCGCTTTTTTACTCAATCTCATTAAAAAAGAGCTTCAGACCTGAGCGATGGTGTTATAGAAATTTTTAATGGCATTAAAGCCATAATATTTTTAGATACTACTCTATTCCATGTTAGCAGTAATTAGCTGCAGCTTTATCTTTGAGCATAAGGACATATTCAATGACATGGTTTGAATTTTAACCTCTAGGGTGTTGAGGCATGGGAAATAGTCGTAGTTGAGAACCATCCAGGTCTGGCTCCTAAATAGAGATGTGCTTTTGAATTATTTGGATCCACCCCTCTCCTCTCATGCAACCTCTGAAGATCAAAGCGCAGACAGCTCTTTATTTGCATTTCACAAACACAACTTTATAAAAGGTATTCCTTTAGCATTGTTCAGCAAGTACACAGAAGCTTTGTGTTCGCTAATATTCTGGTTACAGATCTGAACAAAAAAAAAAGCATACATTTTATGATAGGCTGATTTTCTTGACTTCATTTAAGAGGCATCATGTTCATTCAGCTTTAATCGGGCCAAGGCCCACATTCCTAAAGTGGCATGCAGAAAGAAGCAGAAGGAGCTTGATTTGACGGACGCCGGAGGGCTGAGAGAAGGCAGACCGGATGACTCAGGTAGCCTCTGATGCGCAGGTTTTTACGACCGGAAAGTGCTGCTGCCATCCACAAGGCCCTTTGCCAAAGCCCCTGATTGGCACGCTTCAGCACATACTGCAGTGGGTGCACAGATAGGCCAAAACTAAATGGGGACAAAGAATACGAGGCACGATTACACAGATAGTCGGGCAGAGCGGAGAGTGAAGCAAAGCGGGCACATGCATGATGTGGCAGAGGGCACATGCAGACTGTGGAAAGACCACGGGAAGGGGATTAAGACAAAGAAAATAGGATCTCTAATCCACAGCAAAGGCCTCAACGATCATATGATGCATGTGGATCGAGTGACAGTTTATCTGTGGTGAGATTTGTGGATTTCACTGCTCAGCTTGTTTAATCCTTCAGCTATTGTCTGTTTTCCACCGATCTGTAATTAAGAGTAACGCAGCTTAGTGCTGCTGCATGGCAGGTAACAACTAAAGGAGATTGTCCTGCATTCACTGCTGCTGCCCCCCCTTTACCTCTTGCTACATCTCAAATGACCCCTGTATTTAGTTCCCATAATTACGCTTTCAGGTCGTCTCTTCCGTGTTAATGCATATGGTCAGTGTTTCATCATTACATCACAATTCTTGTTTCAATTTGTAATAATCTGTCTAGACCTCTGTTATAACAGTGTCTATATTCTGTCCCATGATCAATGATCTAATATTTGATCCTAAATGATTTCATGTTTGTCTGATTGTGACTTTCTGCTTTAAAAACAAAACTAGCCGATGTTCTTTTCTAGTGTAAAACCTGGACAGCAGAGACGAACGCTTCCACGCTCAGTTCAGAAGAGCTTTATTAGTGTCAAGGCATGTTTATTCCACAGCGATGTGGACTTGGTGTGTGTTAAACCAAACGGATTGGCAAATTAGGCCTGAAAAGGGCAAGATGTGGCAGAGAGACAAATGCCTTTCAAGCGATCGCATTAGGAAGACGATCCTTGTTGTGTAACCCAGTCCTCAAGGCATGGCAAAGATGGATGGAAGACAAGGTGTGTGTGTGCGAGGAGGGGTGTGTTTGTGAGGGGATATTGAAGAGCTATGTTTAAGCAGCTTCTGACATACAATTTTAGATTATAACCACTGCTCCTCCATGGAGGGTTTATGTCCTTTGAAGAGTCTTAGACTAAGAATTAAAGGAGAGTTTTTCTAAACATCAGGAGGTCAAAAGTTTACAGGCTTTGCTGCAAAGCGAGAGTGCAGCTCTGTATGATGGATTGAAGGGGAGTGCTTAAGTACAAAGCTTAATGCTTTTGCGCTTTTATTTTGCTGGAAAAGTTTAAATTTGTAACTTTTTGGTTCTGATATTTAGAAATATGATATTTATTCTATATAACATACATGTTTTAAGTGTACCAGCTTATATTGCCTCTAAAAACTATAAGTATACCCTCAAATTTTTGATTGTGTCAAATTAAATGCCAATATTTTAGGCAACGGTACATTGTTTTTAACTTCCTTTTATCTAAAAAGCCAGCTAAGCAATAAATAAAACATTGTTTTACTTAAAGTAGAAAAGAGAAGATTATTGTTGTTTAGTTAATAACAGAAAAGCAATGTGATTATCAAACCTTTTGGGTTAATTTGTGTCCATATGTTTTATCTAAAAAAGGGGCATACTCAGTTCCAGACAACAGAAGAAGGAACTTTATCTAACACGCCTTGCTCTAGTTAGAAAAAACTAATGAATAGGTGTGCCCAAGTCTGTTGATGACGAAAAATTCTCGAGATGTTTTTTGCCTTACTTACTATGATGGTTAATAAAATACCAGTGATAATTAATTCAACTAAAAGCTGAAAAACATTTCTATTAAAATGAAAATATTTTCAAGATGTACGTAACATATTTCCTTGAGGACGATAAAGTTCCTATTACTTTTTGCTAAAACTGGTCGTGTCGAAAAGGTCTGTTTAGTCGAAGGCCATATTTAAACTGCTCTTGATCTACAGACCAGTTCACACAAGATTATTAGACTCAAACAAACTTTATCGTCACACAGAGTGTATGCAAAACGAGATTTTGTTGCCTCCAGCTTAAAACAGTGTGATGATATTGCAGTTGGATTAAGATAAACATTACCAGTATAAAATGCAGCAGTGACCAGAATGTAAAAATAAAGGAGAAAAAGAAACCAGTTTAACACAGTGCTGCAAAAGGAGAATAATATGAAAAAGTTCTGTGCAGTGCAAAATAAATATGGTGCAAAATGCAGTAGAACATTGAGTCCTATTTAAAAAGTAAAGTTTAGATTTCAGCAGTTCAGCAGTCTGATGGCAATGGGGGAA